AATTCTGGGATTTTAAGATTCTAAAAGGTCCTCCAAGATGCACTTTGTTTGCATGTGCTTAAGGATGTCCCTGGTTCAGGAGATCCTGTCTGAGGCTTTCACACACCATTTAAAAGCCTTTGCTAAGTTGGAGCATGACAGTCAGTGCATTTGCTAATTTTTCTTTTTTTTTTTTTTTTCCCCTTTTCCTTTTAGATTGGGGCCAAGGAAGTCTTGAAATACACCCGAGATTTATTCCTCATATCAAATTGATCCCTGCTCGCCAGGACTGTCTCCATCCTGTCCCCATCTGAGCGGTTCATGCCCATGGTGCCCTCAGAGGGTGGCTGAGCACAGCCATGCATCAGCTCTTTGGGCTGGTTCTGGCACAGAAGGACCTTTCCCGGGCGGGGGATCTCTTCTCCTTGGAGGATGCTGAGATCGAAGGGAGCCTCTCCGAAGCTCTGGAGCAAATCAGGATAATTAGTTCAGCTGCAGTAAGTGAAACACTGACCAGGATGTTTTGTCATGAGATTAAACGTATAAGTAAAATATTCAAAACAGGGACACATACAATTTAAGTTTCTATAAAAAAAAAAAAAAAAACAACCACCTGAAGAGCAAAGTGTAAGACTTAAAAATGTGGTAACAAAATCCAGTTCCCCACAGCTGGATTTCCTTTAAAGCTATTTCAAGTTCATCTTTATAAGAATTTTTATTAATCAGTTATTTAAAGCATATTAAAGATTAACATGAGGTTACATAATCCGTACCTTCACAGCAATGAGGATTAAGACCCAAACCAGTGAGCTGCCCATGGGATGAACTAATTTCTGTGTTTTTAATCCCACTAAACATCCATTGTAAAGGTGGAAGCGGGAAAAGGGACCCTGTTAAAAAAACTCTGTGTCTTTGGGTGAAATTTGTGAGGTCCTTGAAACCCAGCTGACTGGGGGATGTCTTTTGAATTTGCCCCAGGACTACCAGAGCAATGACAACGACCAGGCCGTGGTGGAGATCTGCATCACCCGCATCACCACGGCCCTGCGCGAAACCGCCTCCATCGAGCGGCACGGCCGGGCCCTCGTGGCCCTCTGGGAGTCCTGCCTGGAGCACAACCTGAGACCCTCGGCCAGGGAGGAGGATGCACCACACGCCAAAATTGCCTCTGACATCATGAGCTGCATCCTGCAGGTAGCACTGGAAGTTCCCTGCGTTACTCCCACCGAGCTGGAAGCGCCCTCGGTGCGCATCCAGTTTTTGCTTTTAGAATGTGCTTGTGCTTTTTTGGGTGCATGGGAGGGATTACATTTAAAATCAAGGGCTTGACTCCAAATGTTAAAATACAGAGCATGGTAACACATCCTCTGAGGGGCAGTGGTGCATCAGGGGGTTGTGATCCCTCTACTTTCCTCTGGGAATGGCTGGATTTGGTGGCGACCGTACTTTGTGGTGGGCAATGCCCTTCTGGAGGGGTTGGATTTGGTGGGGACCACACTTTGTGGTGGGCAGTGCCCTTCTGGAGGGGTTGGATTTGGTGGAGACCACACTTTGTGGTGGGCAGTGCCCTTCTGGAGGGGTTGGATTTGGTGGGGACCACACTTTGTGGTGGGCAGTGCCCTTCTGGAGGAATTGGTTGTCTCCCTTTTTGCCTCCTGCCCCTGGAGGTGAGACAGTAACCAGCAGCAGCACAGCTTAAACGTTCCAGATGAGAGACTGTATGTTGTGAAATCCTAGTTTATCCTTGTGGCACTTCAGAAATCAGATTTCAGAAGAATGTTGAAGTGTTG